AATGTTTATGGATGTTATGAATAAAATCATGCCTTTTTATAAGTTATATACCAGGCGTCCACGTAGTGTGGAGAAGCTCTATAGTTCCATTGCAATAAAAGATCTTTTTGGAGATATACAGGGTGTTTCCTAACTACGGTTCCTAACTGCAGGGGGTTATTTGTTAGGTCATTTTAAGAAGGAAAGTTTCTATGAACATATGTCCGGAGTTGCTTCGTTTCTGAGATACAGGGCGTTGGAATTGAAGAAAAAAATGGTAATTATAAGATATCATGAATATCCTGGAACCGATTTGGTTGAAATTTCGTACTTTCATTTGTCAAATTTTCTGAAATTTCAGCATATCAAGTGTCAATTAAACTTTTGGCGGGAATAATGAAAAACTCATTTCTCAAATGAAGGTGTTCATGATATGCAATACAGTGGCTTTGATTTTTTTTCTCGAAAACGAAGCCGGATATGAAGAAAGTGCAAGAGACCAAAAACTTGTATTTTGAGTTGCTCCATCTGAACAAAATAAAAATTCACCAAAAAAAGTCAGTGGTGTATTTTTTTTTTCACAATATTGTTGGCTGTGGTGCCTACTGAGACGCCACTGGCCCCAATAATTTCAATCTATATAGGGCTAAATAAGCGCCTTATTAGTTCAAATGAAAGTACCAAATTTTAACCAAATCGGTTCTGGAATATTCATGATATTTTATAATTACCGTTTTTTTTTTCTTGAACTTCAACGCCCTGTATCTCAGAAATGAAGCAACTCCGGACATATGTTAATGGGAACTTTTCATCCTAAAATGACCTAATGAATCACCACCAACAGTTAGGAACCGTAGTTAGGAAACACCCTGTATAGTACAATAAAGTTAGGTCTATAAAGCAGAAGCATTTTGATCTCTACAGGATGTTCTTTGAACGCGAGGCTACTTTATCTAACTTCTGATCTTTTGAGTGCCCAATGGCGGCCATTTTGGCAAGATGCCACTACGGCCGTATTGAATAATTTTGAATCATTAGAAATTAACAAACTCAAAAATTATGACAATCAATCAGACCTCAATAGTTCACCACTGTTGAATTTGTTTAGTTAGTAGGTAATAATATATGTATTTGCAATATCAACCCTTTCAAGTTAATCCAGTACATCGTATTTGAATGTAGATATTGTGCCTAAGTTCCGGAAATGAAGTTTTATCGAACCTGTCCACAGGTAACTGATCCTTCAAGTTGGTAAAGTAGGATATATAAAAGTTGAGCAAGCCAAGGTTGGTTTAGTTCATTGTACCAGTATATACTTGACGAAGCTACTGTGTTAGCGAAACATGTTGTGTGTTCAAGAATATTGTGGAAATCTTATCGTTTGTGTTTTTTCATCATAAAGTTGAAAAGCTATAGACATTAGACTCTAATGACGCCAGTGATTAATCATGTGACCTAGTAAAATTTCACACCTCTCTCTTCGCCACCTTATCTGTTCGTGTCGTCGCGACATAATAATATCATCGGTGAGAGTGATTTCGGATTAACATGGGAATCAAATTATATCGCAAATTGCCTTATTGCCGTGGGATTATTGTCGATAATAATTATCAAACTTGGGCTGTGAACGGCTGCAAGCTGATCTCACATATGGGTGAGGAGAGGAAGTGAATCGATTGGATTTGGATCGATTTGCTGGTGAAATCGAAATTATTGAGAATGCGTGAGATGACCAGGGTGAGCCAGAATGAGACCGACAAACTTCGTTTTCAGATTCCATACTTTATAACTTGAAGAGATTTTTTTTTTGAAAATGTCTTTGTGAAACAATATGAGAAATTGGTACAGCTTTCTAGGTTATAATCAATGTAATATTATTCTGATTTTATTTTCAATAGGCAACGACACAAATAATGTGTGAATTCAATTTCAACATGCATATAATTGAAATATAGTAGTAACTAATAACTAATAACATAAATGAATCAATACTTTGATAAAAAATGCTGTGATATTTCAAAAAACACACTATTTGAATACCCAATAATTCCATGATTCGTTCGAACATAGCGTCATAATATTTTTACTAGAAATGAGTATTCTTGCCTACAGGTGACTGACTGGACGAATAAGTTGTTGACATCAGTCGGTGACTTTAAAGTCACATGCCTAAGTGTGAAAGTTTCCATGAAGTTAGCGGTAAATTAAGAATAGTTCTTATAAATGAGTATTGGATATAGTCATCATTAATTATCGAGGTGTCATAAACTCATAATAATCTTCCACATATCTGATGAATTCTTCATATATTCTATCACTCACCAACGCACGAGAGTTTTCTTTGTCGAAGTAAACTTGACATTTCAATGAGAATTTTGTAGTCTGGAAATTAATCGAACAAAATTTTCCTCTAGGACGAGTAATAGGTTCTGGTCGTTTTTGAATTCAATTTCTTGAAAGCAACAAAACTCGAATTATAAATGTCAAATTTATTTCGACCCGAAGAAATGCTCGAGTGTAATTCAGTTAGACAATTCAATTAATACATAACATTCCACAGATAAGATACTTTTCTGACAACGCAAGATTGAGAAAAATGTACATAGAAGCCCTCAGGATCCGTTCGCAATTCTGGTTGTCATGGTTTCGAATGTTAGGTTCCGTTTTATCAACAGTAAAAACACAAGAGCTTTTTTTATCGGATAAATGTCTCTTGGTAACGAAAAACATTTGACGAGCAGTAGTTTTACGAGAAAAACTGACATGAAGAAATTGTGAGACCGTAGGTCTAGCAATTTTGTCTAATGTCATTCAATAGGAGAGAGTCCAGTCGAAATCAGTTTGTGTGTTTATATAGGTGTGGCGTATGGTGAAATTATTCATCTTATTTAGTTGTTTTCTTTTGTGAAAATAGATGATCTAGAATCTAGATTAATATGAATAACTATTTCCATAAACTTCTGATATACATATCGTTTCAGCATTGGTTGATTGATCAAATGTATAATGAAATCTTCAAAAATTTGCTCTCGGAATATGAATTCCGTATATAGAGGAAAATGGAAAATTAGATCGGTCTATCATATAAGATTGACATGATACATTATTCATAGGGACATACATCACAATTATGTACAGTTATAAAAAAATCACCATTGAATAATTATGGTATAATATGTGAATAGGGATAATTAGAAAAGGCAGGCCAATGGGTATTCAGCCAGGGGAAATTACACGTTTCGACACTTTGGGCGGGGCACAGATTATAGGCACTCTCGTTACAATTTGTAAATTAAATATTAATCAGTTGTGTACCTGTCAATTCGTTAATTGCTCTACTGATGTATTGTTTGTTTGGTGCAGCAATTATTAGTAGTATATAGAATATCATGCTTTAATTAGGACATTACTTCACCAAAAACAAATCGCCTGCTGAGCATTGTTTTGCCAGTTTTGGGAGAAGATTTAACACTGTTCATCGCACCTTCCTGAAAATTGCGAATTTTCTCTTCAGTTGTTTTAGTTTTGAAAGTAGAGGTCAGACAACATTGTTCAATCCATCAGACCCAGTATTTTTCACTAGAATTACTAGAACGAGATTCCTTTCAAGCTTTTTGATCAGAAACTTGAAGTTCTGAGCAAAAAAATATATAATAGACAGAGGATTTTAAAAACGTTTTCAATTGTTTTTTTATCCTTCCATCTTGAAGAGCATTCAAAGAATTATCAATTTGCTTATTTTAATGTATTATCCATTGTATCGGTCTTTGCATTTCATTCAGATTTATACCATTTTCACATTCCATATATTGTTTTTCAGGATATAGAAGAAGAACTTAACATTTTTCTAAAGACTGATAGCAGTCGTTCACTTATTTTTGCAACCAGATGGATTGAATCCCCCAAAATGCTATTTATATTATATATATAATAATAACAACGTTACCAATGGCAGGGCTGTAACTAGAGTTGAACGTAAAATCTGAACTGGTCAAACGATTTTCGTCGTACTGGCACTTATTGAATTGTGAGTGTAGGTGAGATTGAATTCATTCAACCGATTTAGCCAAAAGCCAGAAATACCATGCCATTCATTCTTCAATGACCCATATTGACAGTCTCTGAGGTCTATTGATTGCAGTTGAATTTGAAAATGTAGATTCCTATCGGCTACTAAGGCCATGCTCTATTTTCGTTGGGAATGTATGTCTAAAATGAATTGATCAATCGGTGCAATATCAGAACAAATATATGATAACTAACATTTTCAACATGTTCAACGAACCAGATATTTTCATACGACTAGGAGAAGAAACAATATACTGTGCTTTTATCAGATTTGAGGAATGTGGTTCTTCGTGGTCAACTTCATCTCAAACCCTTCGTTTTTTGCTGAAGAAAGCCCGTGAACCCATCAGAAAATCAATCAATCCCCAGGTCACATCATTAAACAAATTGATGTGATTGTAATAAACCATGATTAGTTCGGAATTGTTGAGATGTTGCTGCTCTAGTATTTAGATGTCACTGCTCTAGTATTTTCAAATGTGGGCATTAGTATTTTGACGTAGGGCGATGCCTCATAACGCTCCTCCCCTTGCTACGGCCCTGACTAATGGTGATTGCAATTTGAATAATTCTGTATATTTTCTCACATCTATTGAAACTGTGATGTATACACCGCGTGTCCAAGATAAGGATGTCTGTCATGGGAATCTCGGAAACCAAATTTTCAAGCCTAACAATGTGCCGTTCAGAACGTTCTGAAGATATATGCCTAAAAAACCTATAAATTTGCTGATTTCTATATTATTGTTTTCTGATGTTATTCAAATAGATACATTGGAACACAAAAGACTCTATCTCATTGCCACTTTTTAAGATCTACTTACCAGCGTTGAGAGGTTTTCCTTATGAGGTTTCGTTTCGGGAAAACCATTTCCGAGATCCCCATGATAGACAACGTTATCTTGGACACACTGTATATTATTCATGATATTTTACAATATGTTTATCTCAGTTTAAAGACATGCGTGAACAAGATGGCAGACCACCTTTGGAGATAAGACTTTGAGAATGAGTTGGATTATTTCGTCACCATGTTTGTTGACAAAGTCGTTACATTTAGCTTCAAATTTTTTTGGTAGTACTGGACAGGCATGATGAACAGCATCCTTGATTTTTTGCTAAAACAAGAAATAAATTAGTAAGTTTCTGCAGAAGAAGATTGAATCAATTTTACTATAGTCGTACTGTACGTCGCAAGTTTAGAAACGCATCGAAGTACTATACTCCTCAATCAGACTTTTTCCTCTGATAGCTCTTATACAAGGTGTTCAAAAAACCTGACCTCCTTGCTAGGGCAGGTAGAACACTGCAAAATGAGTTGAAATATGATTTTATCACACATTTTTCACGATTATGTCGAATCAACTGGCAACATTATTGTAATGAAATGTTTTTATGACTGCGTTTTGGAAGCTGACACATCGCATGAATTAGTTTTTATATCTGACTCTCATAGGACGCTAGTTATACGGTTCGTAACTAGGAGCTTTAAACTTTTTTGAGGTTAGATTCTTCTATCCAACATTCAATTCTACACCAGAAGGGTACTCCTGGTGAAACTCGATACTGTGTTCCATTTTCGGAATATTTCTATTTGAAAATGATGAATTGATAACTGTTGCTGGTAGGAAGCTATGTATTAGAGATTAGAGTAAGTATTATGAAAAACTATCACCTATTCATTGAAAACCGAAAATAACTATACATTCAGAATGCTATACTCATTGATTGAACAATGGATCACATGAATAACATTTGGACAAATTTGACTAAAAACATGGATTACACAGTTTCGTTGTATATCTTGAGCAAAAGTATATGATGCTACAGAGGTAAATTAACGTCAAGAGTTGCTAGACAGATGACCTTACAGCTGATCCTCAACTGTTCAGAAGAATATTGCATTCCTTAAAAAATAATATAGAATATTGTATTTGTGGAAACGTAGGGCATTTTGAACACTTCTGATGTGACAAAGGATAGCTTTTTGATGTTGAATTCACTGACGTTCAAATTCGGATTGAAGAATCTAACTTCAATAAGTCCATCCATACAAAATTTCGTCACAATGTTGCCAGTAGTTTCGACATAATCGTTGAAAATGTGTGAAAAAAAACATTCTTCAATACCTTGTATCGTGAAATCGGATGCCATCACGGCATGTTTTTACTGAAGAAACCCAACTTATTTTGCAGTGTTCTACCTACCCTAGCAAGGGGTCAGCGTTTTTCTAAACACCCTATATATATCATTTCAATATTTTTGAGGCCTCTGCACAATAAATTTTGCAGCAACAGAAAGGAGAGTGCTTGATATTTCATAACTAAAATTGAGAACAATCAATTATTATACTCACTACTAGTTTCTGCACTCATCTACTATTCCCTCATCTGTTAACATTATTTCAACTTGGAGAAAAAAATATTTAGGAAGTAGATATACACAATTGTGATATTAGATATTATGGACAAGCAGTATTTCGATTTTACCATGTATGTGGTGATTCTTTACTAATGACTGATCTTTGATATTTGATAAAATACGAATAAGTTCATAATATATACCTCAGATTTATCTTTCCCTATTTCCTTATAAATTTCTTTGACTGCTAGTTCACATACTTCACATACAGGATTGATGGAAAATGATTCTTCTTTTTCTTCGACATCTGTGAAAGAGAAAAATGTCAAATAATGATTCATTATATTATGAAAAGTAATATTATAATAATAATAATAATAATAATAATAATAATAATAATAATAATAATAATAATTCATGATTATTATACAGGCTGACTGAAGAAAAACGCGTAGCGTTATTAAATAATTAAGAAATCTATTGAAATGACAACCATGACTATAGGCTCTGATAATTTTTTTTTAATTTCAACTTTAACGCCAGTGAATTTCAACGGTTTTTTCAAATGAATCCATATTTTCATTTAACTTTTTCTGATTGACGAGTTGACAAAAAATAGATATTTTCATAAAAGTTTGCGAAATTAATGTGTCAATAAATGCTACTGAAATGAATGAATGTTTTATTTATCTTATTTGTCTAACGAGTCAGTCACTAGTTTTTCTGTATAGAATAAATACAGTCGCACTTCCTCAATTTGAAAAATAGGTTATGGATTCTCTCAAACATACCTTCATACTATAGATATATTATATACCGGGTGAAGACTTTAACTGGAATAAATTCTCTACTGATGGGGGACTGTATGATTTTTCTGAAAATTCGCTAGACACGTCAACGTTTGAATGTATTCACCTACATTTGGTGAGCAATATGGAGAATATAACCCTTCAGGGCTAGCTGGAATCAACTCCAATATGTTTTTTTCAAATGCAACGGTATCCTCATTGGAAAACTGGCCGAAAGAGGAGTCTAGCGTACTGATCATATTATTATTTTAGTTTGCAGTACGTTTGGGGTTCACATAAAATCAAAATAGAATTTCGAAGTGATATAATTTCAACGTATATTCATCAAAATTTCGACTTTCAATGACAGTGATCTGCTCCCGTTCTCAACATGAAAAATATGTTTGCCTTTTTGATGTTGAGAACGGGAGCAGAATCGTTGCCGAGACGTCGAAAGATAAGTGAAAATTCGCAATTTTTTCAATATCTCTATTTATATTTGTTCTCTCCGAATATGTTTTCAAACAAATCGTCACTGACAAGCTATTGGATTTTTTTAGGCTCCCTGATAGAAAAATATGTTAAACGCATCAGTGACATTCTTGGGCAAATCATATGATTTGTCCTACTACACAACATAATTTATTGAAATAGTACTAAAATTTGTATTCCATAGAAAAGTAAAACGAAATCAAGGTTTCACAGGGATGATAATATAAAAAATATGATAAAAAATAAACAGTCCACCTATTTGGCAACCTCACTCAAAAAAATTCCTTCGGACCAGTTTACATAAACTTACCATTCGTCGATTCAACCGGTAGAAGGATGACAATGAAACAAGCGACTACTGGAATGAGCTTCATGTCAATGACTGGAAGCGTTCTCTACTGTTTAGTGATTTTTATAGCTTCAGGAGAAACGTCGCAAATGTATTGTAATTCCTATCATAAACTATTCAAACAGAACAAATACATGAAAAATACCAGAATAATATCAATTTTATCACAAACTGTTTATGAACATGCCATTGTGCATGGAAATGTCGAAACCTTACTGGTCTGCATCATTCAAGGTAGCAAAAATACTGCGTTCGAATATGATTATTTTAATCTATACAGTGAGGACGTAAAAAGTCCTCCCCCCCCCCCTTAACTTTTGAACGGAACAAGCTATCGAGTTCGGGTAAAATTCAGGTAAAAAGGTACTACTTTTACTACTTTTTGGCATAAAAATGATTGTGGTCACGTGGCCTAGTGTCAAGAGGGTACCATCAACTTTTTTTTTTCAAATGTAAAAGGGGGTCACGTGGCACCTGGTTTTAAAGGCCTTCCGATTCTCTATCCAACACCGCTGTGTTTGTGAAAATCGACCAAGCCGTTTCGAACTGACAAGCTATTGAAATTTGCTTCAAAAATTTCACAAAAAATTATTTCAACTATTAATTGCAGCAGAATTTCAACTCCGTCACTGATTATGGTCGAAGAGTCAATTTTTTGTGGTAAGACAGGTGCGCATATTATTGGTATTTTAAAATGTGGTTTTTGTTCCAGTTTTTTTTACCTTATTTATTTTGCTGGAGACTCCAAATATCATTTCATTTCAATGCCAGTCTAATATTGACGTTAATCATATCGATACTTTTGACAGTTCTCATAGGTTCAAGCTTGTTTTTATAATTTTCAAATGCCTCGTCAGTTTGAAACGGCTTGGTCGATTTTCACAAACACAGCGGTGGTGGATAGAGAATCGGAAAGCCTTCAAAACCAGGTGCCACGTGACCCCCTTTTACATTTGAAAAAAAAAAGTTGATGGTACCCTCTTGACACTAGGCCACGTGACCACAATCATTTTTATGCCAAAAAGTAGTAAAAGTAGTACCTTTTTACCTGAATTTTACCCGACCTCGATAGCTTGTTCCGTTCAAAAGTTAAGGGGGGGGGGGGGACTTTTTACGTCCTCACTGTATAATTATACTGATAATGGTATTGCTATCGAAATAGGTATGTTCATTTGTGTTGCTAAACTTGCTAAAGTTCATTTCGTTACCATAGTTGTCTCTGTTCATGGCATGATGTAAACAGAGAAAGTCATAGAAAAAAATCAAGTTCAGCAGGTAGAGCAAACACAGACGAACAGATGCCTAATGTTTTTCATTGGGTGTACATCTTATTCTACATTTTCGTAGGGTATTTCCATTGAACCTTCAACATGATAACATTTTGATTGATGTTCCGTCACTATTCACTACTACCCTGATGGTCGGAGCTTTGTTCAGTATGCCTTGTACCGGTAACCAACCTTGTCGGCCAAGACGGCGTAAATATTTTGGAAGTCGACATGAGTAAGAAATGAATTCGTGTTGTTCTATTATTCTTCAAAATAACATTTCATTCCTAATCATCTGATTTGCACCAATTTTGGATTCTGGAAGTAGGGAATATTGCATTATTTACGTATTCAAATAAGGTGAGCTCCTCACCCTATACCTTCAAAATAAATACCAAAACAGAACTGATTTGGTTGCATGAAAAAACCAAAGAGAAATGGTGTTAAAATTCGGTAACTAATATATCGAGTATTATCACTACCCAAACCTATTTTTTTTAACGCCTTGACACATGTTTCAAAACTGTTATTTTCCCGTTTTTGTGAACCTCTTTTTTGAACCTCTTCGTTTTTTTTTTCTTCAAAATAATTCCTATTGTTCATTTATTTTCAATGTTGAGGACACGACATTTGGGCATTGACTACTTATGTTAATTACCAAAGTTATCAAATTGGAGTGCAAAATAGTATATAATGTAACAAGTGTTATAAACGTCCTTCAAGTCACGAGTAGTTTAAGCACGAGCGGAGCGAGTGTTTAATAAACGAGTGTCTAGAAGAGTTTATAAACGCGTTACATACTATGATTTTTCTACGAACTCCGAAGCAATTCCTGCTGACCTACAAAATAATTCGAAAGGAATGGGAATTGAGAACATAATACATGCAACTGCATGCAACCAGCGAGACACTTATAAGTGATATTGGTTGTAGATATGTCCAGTCCATTGCTTACTAACTTTTGTTCCACGTTTATTGTCATGCTTAGCGCAGAATAAATAAATTGTTCTCAAAGATGGATGCTTCATTTTTACACTTCTTGTAGATATGCAAGTACGAGAACATTCTCTTCGATTTCACTTTCGTCTACTTTTCGCATATATTTTTAATGGAGAATTCTGATACAAACGAATATTGTTTGAATATTTCTGAGACAAAACAACAACATCATCATCATAAACAACAGTTGACAGTTAATATAATTGACAGGCCAGACATGTTTCAAATTACTGAAGCTGTGTTTAATGAACTGCGTTGCCATGGTAATGTATTTGAGAAATCGTGTTGCCATGGTAACGTGTTTAATATAAATCACAGATCGACAATCCGTGATTAATCGATCATTCAGCGTGGTACATATTCGTACGCTAAATGCCATTTTAGTTATGTGAGTAGAAAAACTGTATTTAATAACAATGCTCGTAATAGAATGGAAATAATGAAGATATAGGCAGAAAAATATTGTTTATATATTTTTATGTATAAACTCTATTCAATTTCGCTCGATATTGTTTCGATCTGGAATCACTTATTGGGACACAACTTGATCTGTAGACAAACTTCTCCTGTTGACACAGAATTATTCAGTAACTGGATAATTTTGTTTCCATCCTGGTCGATAAGCATTTTACAATCTGTTTGGAAAAGTGGAGGTAAAACATTGCATACGTTTTTCACTGCCTGCTCAGTTTCTTTCTGTAACAAAACATTAAATATCATACAGAGTGAAATTTCGAAAACATCCCACCCTCAATTTCTTCTTCCCAGTGAGAAATCAAAGAACAGTTCGATTTGTTTTAAAGGGGACACTTATCAAACAAAGTAATTAGAACATACCTGCACTGAGATGCATGGTTTTCAGGTTCATATTATCGTAGGAAGATTTTCAATGCATCTCAGTGCAGTCATGTTTTAGATTAGAGTCCCTGTATATAGTGTATATACCTTAGACAAGAGTCCGGACACAAAACTGACAACCGTTGGGGTTTTTGATATTTTGTTTCATTTGGTTTGCCCACCTGACAATGTGACGACCATAGTCGTCCCGCCCGCTTTTTTTAATTATTTCGAATTTCTGTCACTTTCACTTTGAAATTTCATGACCGCCAAAATTCAGCATTTCAAATTATCTCAATGTCCTTCTGCGTACATTATTGCAATAATTCATTAGAAAAGGGATTCAAGTTATTCAATGTTCCGAATGATCCTTTAAAGATAATGTCATGGAAAAATGCAATGAAACGTCCAGAATGGAAAATTAATTTCGAGGAATCCGCAATATGTGAGGTGAATATTCAAATTTACTTCATATTATTAAGTCACACTACTTCTCATCCGTCAATTCGCGCCACTGCATGCAGGTGGCGCTGCAGGGACTATGTCGAGATTTCGCCGCTGAACGTCTGTCGGAGTCCTATAAATACTGAGACATGTGAAAGAAATGGAAGTATGGTTAATCTGACTTGGATGAAATCTCAACAGTAAGTAGTAACTAGTTTACTCAACTAGTGTTTTATATCAATCTTAAATGATGAATAAATGATAACTCCTTATTAGCACCTAAACATATAGTAGTGTCAATTTGAGGAATGCAAGAGTCATTTGACATACACGTAGTGTAATTAATTCAATCAATTTTTGGTGGATCCGACACTGTTCATAGTGTGAAATCTACTCTGTACTATTATATTACCAACTCTCAACCCTAGTGACTATGTAATATTCGTTTATTGAATTTCCTTAAAAGTGATTATATTGACACTAGCTAGGGTCTTGAGTGGAATGTTCACTTTCGAAATTGTTTCTTTCAACTCTATTTTTGCGTTCATTCAATATATTTAGAGATATAAATAGAGTAAGGTTCAATGTGCTTGCATTGTTAATTTACACTGATTGGATTGAAAAAATTACACTATATATACTAAACTATAGAGTTGAATCATTTACTCTAGAGCTTAGTGGTTCTCCTAGGAACAGATATGGTGTTGAATTTCACTCTATTTTTTTTACTGTGTAGGTTCGGAATCAACAACTATTGTATACAAGGTAGTATTCATTAGATTTTATGTTTTCCCCAAGTATCGTATATTCGCTCAATATCTTCCCTCTCTGTAATGGGTTATTACCTTGGTGGAGTGTTCGCCTCTGATTTCATCTATTGTTTGCAGTACTAATTTGCAAAAAACACACGAGACACCTTTACGATTGGATTCTTCTTGATGTTCTTGCGAAACATCAGCTAAGGCCGCAGTTCCTGAAAAAAAAATCAATCATCACTTTTTCCTTTTCAACTGCAAACTAGAACACTGACAAGAATACAGGTTGAGTCTGAATCAGTTGAAAAAACATCGTGTTCCAATTCTTGTAGCGAAATGAGAACCATTATATTCCACGTATACAGTGTATACCGGGTGATTTTCCAAATGGCTCACCCCTATAACTTTTTATTGTGTAAGTGGAGATATATCAGTAACGCATACATTCAAGAACTCGGTCATCTTCCACTTTTTTCAATATAATTTGTAAAGGTCGATTTTTATTTCTCAAGACGAATTCGTTCGAATGAGCATTATATGTATAGTAGTGGATTTTGCATTAGACACCCTGTGTATTACGGATATAATCAGCATCGCGAATTGAACGATATCAAGTTCGATAGTACTATATGCCTAATGACTATAAAGATATGATACCAAAACACTTCTGTGTATATGATAAATCGATTGTATACGGTTTTGTTTCGATTATAACTCATGTCAAGTCAAGTATGAAGTAGAATTGAGTAGGTAGATAATTTTTCACCTACCTTTTTTTTTTTATATATATACAAACGACATGCGTGGAGAAATTCTTCAGGAAATGTGATTTTCAAATTTCGTGAGTGATCGAATTATTTGGGAATTGTTGTCACAGAATATGGATCTCAAATTTGAATCAGGCGTTAATGCTATTCCACAATAAATACTCATTTCACTTGTTATTGGTTCATTGGTATATTCTACAAATCTCCTGATGATCAGGACAAGTGTTCTCTTGCCACTTACCAGTGATAGGTATGCCATCAATGGAAAAATTGGTAAAGTCTGCAATTGATATATTTCGTTCCACTTTCGCAAAATATGAGAAATGTGATCTGTCAAGACGAGGGTGGCCCTGAATAAATAAAACGATTGAATAACTTACGAAGGAAAACATGTCTGTGTAGATTTTTTTCCGAAACGAAAGGGCTATCGCCCGAAAACGAAAATTGTTTTTTCTCAATCATCTCGAGAACAGCTCATGCATGATTTCTTCGATTTCTTCACATATTTCATATGTCCTTCGAAATATGCTACTTTTGTTCCATTTAACCAACTTTCTATCTGTCACCGTTCCAGAGATAGCAAATTAGATAGCAATAGTGGGACGACGAAATGTGGCCACCCTGTATACCTATACCTTCAAATGTCCAGGGATGACACGAATGCCCACGAAAAAATTGAATAATAGAATCCATCAATGAAGCTTATACATACCTAGGAAAGTTATTATTGCAAGACATATACAATATTTCATTTTAACGAATTTCACTCACTGATATCACTTTAACAATGATGATAGCTGCTTTATACGTGTACCTAGCCTGTTGACTCCTATATATATACTATCGTCGAAATAATCTCGATTATCTTTCTATTTTTATTTTATTCTTGAGTGCTGATGATTCGATTCTGATGATCAATTGCAAGTATTTTCTTAGAAATTGTATACAAAAATGAATCACAATACCATCAATAACAATATATTATATACCTAGGTAGATTCCACCAATTCAAAATGGTACAATGTCTTATTAGGATCAAATGTGACACTTTGTTTGACGAGCGAAATTTCCTTTTGCGAGGCGTAGCGACCGCGAAGCCGAGCACACAAATTTTGGGAGTCGAACAGTCACTTTTTATCCGAATGAAACATCCTATTTTTTCAGCAATCGAAATAATTGATATTTATATAATAAATTATACGTGAAGTTAGCACTATTTAGAATCACTTCAGCATGCCAGTGTCAAAGCAGCTACGATATCTGACACACTTTTAGTTCCTAGGAGTTAAACATCAACTTTAGGTCCTAGACACTGAAAGTGTGGCCAAGCAACATACATACTAATCATTTTAGTGTGTCAGTAAGAGGAATGCCAACTTCAAGAGCTAATTTTGGAACAAAAATTGACGACTTTTGAGTCGATTGCAGGAAAATATTATTATTATGTACACTTCAGATAAATTTTGATGTTTGTATAGGGATAGGGTGACTCGGTTACTATGGGAGGGAGATATCAAGAAATGGAAGAGACATTCTTGATCTCGATTTACTATCTTCTTTTGTTTTCGAGTTGTAAGCTGAAGTTCGATTCTTCGACATTTACACGCACATACATGTGAATATCGTTGTTTGTGAATTGACAAAATAACATTAATATTATGAAGGCACTTTTTTCTATATAAAATTTATGAAGAAAGATCGTTATGGTCGGAAGTTGCATTTCGAATGGAAAAATTATTTGAACGATTTCACTTTATCTTCCTGGTCATTGACATCTACATATTCATCATCACCATTTATACATGTTATGGAACTTATTCAGTATTTTTGTATGAATGTAGAAAAATCTTATTTCGCGTTTATTTATGAATCCATTAGGTAATTTCTTCGATCAAGAAAACTATTTCGCTAATATGCTGTTCTGTACCTACCGTGTATGGACCCGATGATAGTAAAGATGGGAAAAAAACATCTACGACATAGGTTTTCTTGCAAATCATGGCTGCCAAAAAATTTTTCGTGTCGAACGTCATTATTAACATTTTTTATTCAGATCATTCGATATCTTCATAGTTCAGCCCAATATATTGATTGTTACAGCACCTAATTAATTTCTTCGTCAAGAATGACTGTGTTATCACTGTTATCAATGCAAGAAATGGATATCATCCAAGTAAAGGAGGATATATTATGTAAATCATAATATATTCTCACCATATACATTCAAATTGAGAATTTTTATTTAATGCATGAAATAAATGGATTATTCAAATGAACTCCCAAAAAATTGGATTCTGATTTTTTTTTGTAACTATGGAAAATTGTTTTGGAATTCACCCCCAACACCGCATAAGTAGTAGTAATAAGCAGAAAATGAAGTTTGAAAATAATATACAGGTTGTTTCCGAAATTGGGGCGATAAATTGAATAGAGGATGGAAGACGAAAAAACAAAACGAAATGAATCAATACATTCCTGTTCAAAAAAAAAATTGTTTGAAAATTTTGTAAATTGAGAAGATGAAAGAAGAGTTTGTCATATTATTATTATCTGTCTTGTTATGTCACATGTTGTTGATTGAAATATGGGTACATCCAATCATAACGCTAGATTCAAACGTATATTATTACATGCTAGACATAGCCCAATCCAAGCGCTTGCTTTCGGCGAGATTACAAGCACTGGAAGTATTCATGACTTTTACAATGTTGCTGGTCGTTCAATATTAGTTGAAATATGTAGTACAGTGGGAGCGCACATTTTTTGAAAAAATGTCCAACAATTTTTTTTAGATTTATATTGTGTCATTTGGCATTTTATATATAGAATACCTCATTTCATTTTTCCGAAAACACCCTGTATTATATGAAATATACATTTACGCAGATCAAAATCTCCTTTTCGTCTTTCTAGTCTAGATCTCGATAAGAACCAAATACCACACTCCACTACATGATGGGTTAGGTATTACTCAAGTGCCAATCCACTATCTACTGGTGATATCTTCGTATATGATGGTATATGAAAGCGATGTACCTTGGAATGCCTATCTGTTCGCTTATCAATGGTATAAAAGGCATGCCATATAGAGAGCCGTTGAGGGGTGGACTCCGAAAAAGGCCATTTATAGTCGAGAAGGCCTTATTAGCGCAGGACAAATTGCGATTGGTACCAGATCTAACCGGAGAAGAGGTCAGTCAGTATCTGTGGGACGTACGGTATATTCCTACTTTCGACGACAGAAGCTCATAGGCGTAGTTGGATTCCTAAGTTTGGTAGTGCTTGAGTCTCAAGTATCAGAAACACACAGAACTACAATCAATCTCGAAGGAACAAAAATATGGAATATCGTTCAAATTATTTCGTTTTCTTGAATGAATATTTTGTACCTGATCATTGGAATGGTTATATTCACTTCTGATCTTATTATTTAGATAACATGAAAATATATCGTTGAAAAATATTAATTTATTCCTTAAATTGAATCCTTTATTTGTTATTATCATATCACTGTTTGGTTGTATGATGAATTCATGTTCAAATTCTCAACTTTAGAAGATTTTATTTTAAATTCTTATTGTGTGTGTTCAATGAATATAATTCAATGTTCATCGCTTTCTCTTGATAATACCGAGAAAGAATTAATATTTTTATCAGCGTACTTCTTGATATGATTGTATCCATCTTTTTGTCATGTTCATGATATATCTGAGAATATCTCTTTTCAATATTATATCACTGTTCAAGTTCCTATTGCACTTACCTTCAAAATTGATGCAACTTCTACAAAAAAAAAGAATGTAGGAAATATACTGATCACAATGAATTGAGATCTGCATCATGTATTGGCCTTAGAGACCTGAGAATGTATATATCAACACAATGACGCGAACGATATGACGAAAAGCCATGTATACAGTTTTCCTCTGCATTATCGAAAATTCAAAACCTAACAAGGACGACGTATTATTCAATAAAACACCTTTACATGATGATAGATGAACTCGAATATACATCGATCCAATTACAAAAAAATCACACAGCATTTGCCAATGATGCACGAATACAAAATTATGAGGGTGCTTAGCCTTCTTAAAACCCCTTTATAACTACGCCTATGCAGATGCCGTAAATTTCGTTGAAGAGGAGGAAATAGACTTTTTATGGTAATGACAGCGAGGAACTTATAAGGACACTGATGGACGTGTGTGGTTAAATCAATGATGCTGTTATAGACATGACTGTTTGCGAAGGATTCACTTCAATTTTTTCTCTGTCGTTAGTATATACCCACAAACAACTGATGAGAGATGTGAAAAAGTCGAAGTTCTTTACATTTCGAATGGGAAATTTGAAATATTAGGAATGGATGAGAGTTCTTGTCTTGATGGTTATTTCTAGTCTTTTTTTGAAAAAATCTTGAAGAAATGTTTTGTTCATGTATCCTGTCTTGGTATTGAAACATTTTTTGAACTTTTGGAGGTTATAAGTTCTTGCAAATACATCCCAAGTATCCATAAAAAAGTTCAAGGCTGTCGACTTTCCTGCGGTTTCCCAATAATGTCAAGAAATTAGTAAAGTCTTTTTCGAAGCTCTATCGATTTATTTTCAATTCATTCTCACGCACTTTTTTCTGAAATCATCACAGATATTTTTTTCCTCATTCAACATTCATGCGAAGTATTCAAAAACGCAAATTTCACATAAATTTGCTTGTGAATTTTGTCTAGTTTTCATGTTAGTCATGTGTGGCGGAAACGATGGAAAACGATTTAACTAAAACTGAATTTCCTCCATCCAATCCTGCTCGATGAAAAAGAAACACATATCAAAAGAAAGTGTGAGCTAACGAACGGCGGTCTCGTCAATTCTCCTCCTTTATCTCTAGATAGGTACTGTGCCTGCTGAGACGTCGTTTAAAAAATGTTCCAGAACTTTTATAAAGGAAAAAAATTGGCATTATTTCGTCGCTAAGTTCTAGCACGCGTTACCTTTTGTACGGAAAGCCGATGGAAAGAGAAAATGGAGTCGAGGAAAACGAACCTCAACAGATAAACGGTCTAAAAACGTCAAGGTTAAATGTGGCGGAAAGGAGATCATAAACTACCGACAACCTTCTTGGGGTACAGGGAATTCAGTGGTGGAGCAGGAGATAAAGATAAGATGTTTCCAGGTGGATTAAATCTTTCGATATTTTATTTTATTCAAGATTGTTCATAAGGTTCATATGAAGCTATATGAGAGATGAGATTTCATCTAAGATCCCTAAGACTTCGGCCTCATGTGTTTATTGTTTTCCTCTACTTCTCAATCCATCCGTTCCAAACTATTTGAGTATTCGTTGATCTATTGAATGAGTTCTTTCCAGTTCTCGTATTCTAGAATGATGTAAAAGACGTTCTGTTAATGGTTGTTTGTTGGGTTGTGCTCAATCAAAGACCACAGTCGCTGTATTTGTATCCTGGTGACCTGTCATTATTTGCACCTGGATCTTGTTTTGTGCCAGCAGTTGTTTGATCTGTTTCCTATGTCATTGCTTGGTTCGGCGCATTATATTGGTTCTTGGACAATGGTCATCTATAATGCTTCTTCAGCACGGTCATCAAGTCATCTCAAGGTTACACTTTTATGTCAGAGCTTTGAAATCCATGCTACATTCACATAGCGATCACCTTCTGGTTGGTGAATGTTTAGTACCTGACTGTGAGTTTAATTATTATTGATTCGTATATTCTCATGTATTTTCATAATTGATTTCAAAGGCACATTGCAGATTCAGTGGTTCTTGAGTTTTTTTTGGAGCGCACGAAAAAAAAACCTATACTGTTCGAAGAACATCGTGCATAATGTTCTTCAATAAGAGTTTTTGCTCAAGAAGTAGTTCTATAGGGCTATCGAACTCAGTATTGTT